ACTTTCCTTTTTTTTTGTTCTCTCTTTTTCTCTTTATTATCAATTTAATTATTTAACTAGATTTTAACCAGCGGTATACTGCGGGATAATTTAATTTTAAAGTTAGTATAAAAATATTTTGTAAATTTGTATGTCCTTATAACATATTTATTTATATTATAGTTTACAATTGTTATTAAGTAACGGTATACCACGAGTCCACAAGACGATTATTAATAAACTGAGGATTTAACCCGTATTAAAGCGGTATATAAATATTGATTCAAATTCGTCCGTCATAAACCCTTTCTGAAATATAACCCGTTCCGTAATTTCTTAACACGTCCTGTGATTTGTTTTTATTTTAAAATTTAATGATTATTTATTATATATAAAAGTTTACAAATCATATCATTCTCTAAGAAATTTATATTTAAATAAACTAAAGATTTAATATGTATTAAAGCGGCATGTTAATGATATTTTAAAATTTTATAATATTGTAATTAAGTAACATTATACCACGGGACAATTTTTGGTTTTATACAATCTTTTCTAAATGAGACTGATTTAATATGTCTAATATTTGTGGTATTACAAAAAAAAAAAAGATTTAATCGTATTGAAGCGGCGGATTAATGATATTTTAATATTTTTATTATTGTTGATTCAAAAACCCATCCCTCTAAACCCGTCCGGCCAAAAAACTCATTTATTTTATTAATGTTCTTATTTATGATATGATTCTGAATCATTGTCTAAATATTTTAATCGATGTAGAACGTTGAACACACATTTTCGTCAATTGGATAATATATGTCCGTTTTTAAAATTTCGAATCACAATATATGCAGAAAAAAAATTGATTTTTTTTACTTTATGTATTTTATGATGATTCAAAATAGTTAAAAACAAATCAAACAAAGATGATAGGAGAATCATAATTAAAAATCTTAATCAAATCTTCTAAATATCTAAATTATTAAATATAGAATATCCGGTGTATGAGTTGGGTTAAATATAACCCGACCCAACAATTTTTTTTGTGAAGGATTTTTTGAAACGGGTCGGATATCCGATTAACCCAGAAGCATTTTTACCCACCCGTCACCAAAATGTTGCGAAAATACTAGTATAGATATCACATATATGTTCTATTTTTTTTTATATAACTAGGATATGACCCGCGGTACACCACAGGTTAAAATATTTAATTAATTTTATAATTTTATTTTAAGATGATGAATTTATTTTATTTATTTTGTATGTTTTTTGGTCCTTTTTATATGTAAAATTTTCAAAAATCTAGGATTTAACCGGGACAATATTATATATATATATATATAGTAACATTAGATTTTGGTATTTTGTTATTTAGTATTAAAGTTATATGAATTAAACTTTTGGTATTTTTAGATTTAACATGTATAACATATGTAGTTGAATAACTTATTAGTATTGCAATTACACATTTGGACGGAGATTAAAACTTATAAAAATTTAAAATTTTGGATTTTTACAATAAATTTTGTCTAGTATTAAAGTTATATGATTATACTTTTTGGTTTTTAAGATTTAACCCATAAAACATATGTAATTTAGTAACTCAATTACACATTTAGAGATTGACCCGTGTGTCATTAGTGAAATCAGAATTTAGATATATTTACAGAATAAATTGACTCGTGTAACATTAGTAAAATCAGAATTTAGACCCGTGGAACATTATACATTTACAAAATATCAGAATTTAGATCTAATATTAGTGAAAACCAAAACATACATAGAAACAAAATCAGAAAAGAGAAAACATTAAACATGAATTACAAAATATATATAAAAAATATGGTGTGATTTAGTAACAAATTTCCTTATCTATAAAACATCTTACCAACGGATTATTAGAATTCAATTTTAATGTAATCAATAATATCGTGATTTTATTTGTAGAGAATCTTACCCAAAATAACTACAAAATTTTTAAAATATAGAAAAGATCCGAATCAAAGATATCCGGACCATAATAAACAATTCGACCCGATTACCCTGAGCAAATAAGTACAGTAAAACAGCTATAAATTAATACAGTTGGGACAACGATATTTTACTAATTACTTCAAAAATCAAATTTGGGACCGAAGAAATGTATTGATTTATCGAATATTAATTTATAGAGGTTATAACGTACTTCAAAAATGTTAAGTAAATTGTACATATATTTTTTTTCTTCATCGATTGAGTAATATATGTTCGTTTTAAAAAATTTGAATCATAGCATATGCAGAAAAAAATCTAAAATTTTATTAACTTTATATATTTTATAATAATTCAAAATAATATAAATATAAGATCAAATAAAAGTGAAATGATAATCATATATTTATGTTTAAATTAAGTAGAGAGTTTTTAGGAAGTTAGATCAAATTTGTTATATTATCATTAAATCATCATATTTGATTTCCTTATCTATAAAAATCATAAAAAAATATTCCATAAATAAAGAGTTTAGGTATAGTAATTAGTTGAGAGCCTTGTTTAAAAAATCGCTAGGCGCTAGTCGGGCGGCGGAGGTGGGCCTAGCGCCTAGCTAAAAAATCGGAGATTACACGGGATTTAATCGGGATTAGTTTTATGTATTAATTTATATTAAAATAAATATATATATATATATATATATATATATATTATCAAATATCTATATACATATATATTATACATTATTTAATTTAATGTAATGTTAAAAATAAATACTTTGTGTGATATATATGTTCAAAGAAAATTTACACTGGTAAAAGAAATATTATCAAAATAATAATTAGATGTGGACATGTATGTAGTCAATGTAAAAAACGTTAACATGTTAAGAAGATTGGCATCAATTAATATCTTCATTTAATTATTATTACTCAAATAAATATATTCAACTTTATTACTTTTTGACTTATTCACGTGTAAGTGATGAAAGTCTCTACCCTTACAAAACCAAAAGTCCCACATCGAGAAGAAAAGAATCAACCATCCAAATTTTATTCTATATATAGCTCTACTTAGTTGCTTCTGATTTTATATGGGCCTTAGTTATCTGTGGCCCAAATTTAGTTTAAAATTTTTGGTAAAAATCGTTGACTTGAACGATTTTCAACGCTTAACACATTAACCGGCCGCAAAATCGGATTAACGATTAATTAGTTCGAATTGGTTAAATTCGTGGCGGAGAGCTGCCGATCACCGATTAGGCGGGCGCCTAGCCGCCTAGGCGCCCGATTTTTAGAACAGGGGTTGATAGTATATATATTTTTAGATTTTATTAAATAATTTTTTTAAAAAAATTTGCCAACATTTAAGGAAAGATTTGATTGAAGATTTCCGGATCAAAATTAAAAAAATCCGACCCGATTGGATTCCTTAAAATGTACTTAAAAATATATAGTAGATAGATTAAAATTTAATTTTTCCTATCAATAAAAAAAGTATCGAAATTTAGCAAAAGCATTAAACGTAACTTTCCCAAGTTGTTGGTGATAAAGATTGGCAGGTCATCAACTGTATTTCCCATACCACATCTCATCTAAACATCAAAATAATATTATTATTTTTATTGATTTATTAGTCAATTATGACAGTCTAAAAACTATATTGCTAAGAATATTCCGGGGATGACTCTTGTGCTTTCTATCAGTTCAGTCATCTACATGTTGTAATCTATTGTTTGTAAAAAGAAAGAAATATCTCAACACAAAATATATATTCTACTCTACAAAAAGAATATCACATATACATGTATAAGGTATATTGCATAATGTATATGTAACTCTCATAAAAAAGAAGAAACCATTATATATTTTCACAACGAGGAAAGAATATAATTGTAATTTTAACCGACAATTGTAATTATATAAAAATATATTTCTTTGTTCTGAAAAATTAATTAAATTAACTATCACATTTAATAATGAAACCAAAATTAGGTGAAATGATATTAATAAGTTAGGTGAGTAAAGCCAAATTAGGTGAGATGATATTTGTAAGTTATATTTATTATGGATCATCATGTTCATGATGCAAACTAAGATGCTCTCATTTGTCGTCAGTTATGTTCAAAAGAATGAGACAATGTTCTTTAGGTCTCATAACTCTCATTTCCCCAATCTCTTGCAACCCTACCAAAGTAATCAAAAATACAGTATGCTTTAAAGACGACGACCAAGAAAAACATAGTAGATCTCCCCGAGGTTTTGGTTGTGGAGATACTCTCTAGAGTTCCGGCGGAAGCTTTGGTACGACTACGATCTACATCCAAAAGATGGGAGACTTACTAAGAAGCACTCGACTAATGAACCAAGGCACTCTCTGATTATCATGGTGTTTGCTTATAAGGGTTATTTGGTGAGCGTCGATCTCCATGGAATTCACAACAACAAGGTAAAGCTAACAAGTCAATTTAGCCTAAAAGATCCTTTTTGTGAATCTTGTAGAGAAGTCGATATACACAACATCTTTCACTGTGATGGCTTATTGCTATACACAACCATGGACAATAGACTGGTTGTTTGGAATGAAGCAAAAGGAAAGTACGAGAGCTAGTAATATAAGATTGTCACATTAAGTTATGCAATATCTATCCAACTCTTGATATTTGATATTTGTATTTAGTAAAAGAAAAAAAATTATGTGTTTAGTACAAACTAAAAATGTTTTTTTAAAGACACAAGTCCTCTTATTTCTTTATGTATTCAGCTCTTGTACTTAGTTAATTTAATGGCAATCAAGGCAATTAAAGGATCTCCAATGGGGGGTTTTATTGAGTTTAGGGTGGGAACTAAAGAGAGACATATAGGTGTCAAACTATGATTGGCTGATGATTTTTAACAAAAAAAAACGCGACAAAATAGTTTCTACTTATCTACGTATTTAATATCACGTTTCTACAATTCTCGAAACTATTGGAACAACCATTTTTTTTTTTTTTTTTTCCTATTGGAACAACTTAGCTTTGGTTGTGTCGATGACATGATCACTGACTTTAGTTGTTAAATCATGTTTTAATATATTTGTTGTAACAAAGGGATTTGATTCCTCAACCAGTTTTTCTTCTGAGTGAAATAATATATTTACTTAATTACAGCAACTTTTATTATTAGACTTCAATGGCTCCGGCCGGAACCATGATGTTGTGTGTATCTCTAAGGTCTTAAGATTACAGAAGGATTCTTGTGTACTATCTCCCCTGAGTTTCCAGCTTCAGTTTCTTCACTAGAGTACTGACTATTCAGAGAGACTTTTGACTGAATCTGGCAAGTTTCAGAGCCAAAACTAGTGCTACATTCGGAGTTTTCAGTTAAAGACTGATCAGAAACTTGTACTCCAGAAAGTAAAAATCTTTGGTGAGAATTGCATGTGTGAATGGCTCCATCACAATCATTACACAGCAATGCTCTGTCCTCTAAGCAGAAGAAGTACCCTTTTCTCTCCTACAAATATATATATATATATATATATATATATATATGTTGTTGTTTAGCGACTGGCTAAAGAACTCAGCGAATGTTTAAAGAGAAAAGAGATTGGAACCTGGCAGATATCACATAGAGGAGCTCCAGAGGCTGTGGTGGCTGAGGATGCATCTTTATGTAAGGCGACTCGGTGATGTCTTTGGAAAATTTTGTTAGCTTCATGAACTTTAATGTCACATGGCTTGCATAGAACAGCTTCATCTGAACAACAAAGTACTTCTGCTTCAGCCTTCTCGCACACTTCACATTGTATCTTCATCTTTCAATGTAACTTTCCTATACAAAGACAGAGCAAATGTTCTTTGGCATTTATGAGAATTAGGACTAGGAATGAATCTAAACAGAGGGAATAAGAAAGAACAAGCTTGAATGTTCACATGTGTGGTGGGCTCATAAGCTATATCAAAACCTGGTTCTGATATATACTAAGAGGAATTGATGATCTTTGTACATGAAAAGAGAGAACTATATATAGATACAACGATTAAGTCGAAGACGAAATCTTTATCTCAATATGGGGTTAGAATTAGACCAACTTTGGTTGGCATTTATATCAATAAATGTTCTCCTACCAAAATATCTATGACAAGATCTTTTTCAGAAGCTTGTATAGTTTACTTTCTTTTGAAAACATAAATTGACAAACATAGCGACAAGCTTCTCTTAAGACACAAGCATGGCAAGCCAAAAGTAATGAGAGGACCACAATATGCATAAAGACTGTGAGGAATTAAAGTAACTAGCCATAGGGCAATAGAGGTCAAAAACTCTAACATGTCATCATTCACTCTCTCCCCCATCCCTTTCCCATGCAGCAGCCAAAGCTCTAAGACTCATCAAAAAAACAGTTTTGTCCTAATTATAATAATGGGCCAGTGAAAAAGTAGGCCTGCATAGAAACTAATATCATGGCCCAATCCAATCCAATTCTGTTTTGGCTCACCAGAGTTCTTACATGAAGTCTCTGGAAAATGAGAGAAGACCTTAAAGGCACAACAAACTTATCCAACGTGTAGTAGCATAATTAGTACAAGTCACATAGCCAAAAAAAAAAAGCTAGAACAATCTCAATATCTCTGCAAAACTCTAGCAAAAGATATTTCAAGAAACTTCTTCATTCTTCATACAATGTGTATATATACACCAGAGAATTGAGACTTATCTTCATAGAAAACAACAAGAAGTAAAGTTAAGCCTACTTAACACTTTGGTTTCAACCTTCTTCAAGAAAATCAAACCACTAACCATGATGAAGCATTTGCTAAGCATCTTCTTCATAGGAGCTTTGTTACTTGGAAACATCAAAACAAGTGAAGGATCTTTGTCTTCTGCACTTGAAACTACTCCAGGCAGCTTGCTATCTGATCTCTGGCTAGACCGGTTCCCTGATCCATTCAAGATCTTGGAGAGAATCCCACTAGAACTCGAAAGGGACACGAGTGTGGCTCTGTCTCCAGCAAGAGTAGACTGGAAAGAAACAGCAGAAGGGCATGAGATACTGCTCGATGTTCCCGGTTTAAAGAAGGATGAAGTAAAGATAGAAGTGGAGGAGAATCGAGTTTTACGAGTCAGTGGAGAGAGGAAAAGAGAAGAAGAGAAGAAAGGAGATCAATGGCATAGAGTGGAGAGATCATATGGAAAGTTCTGGAGACAGTTCAAGCTACCTGATAATGTGGATATGGAATCTGTCAAGGCCAAGCTAGAGAATGGTGTGCTCACTATTAACCTCACAAAACTATCTCCTGAAAAGGTTAAGGGTCCAAGAGTTGTTAACATTGCAGCTGAAGAAGACCAAACTGCAAAAATCAGCTCTTCTGAATCCAAAGAACTCTAAGTGAAGCTAAGTTTATCTATCTATCTTTGAGTGGGAAGAGAGTTATAAATCCTTGAGTTTTATTTTGTGTGAGTTAAATGGAGTGTGGTGTTTTGTAACCTATCTACAAAATCTGTGTAACCTTGTTTTCTATATGCAATAAAATCTGTGTAACCTTAGCTTCAGATTCCAAAGTAATAAAGATCAGGATTGTGGGTTTGTTTCTTCTCTAACAACTTGAAATTTATTCAGATAACAGAGAAAATACTCTTATTAAGACCCGGGAAAGTGACCAGATTCAATACAAAAGTGAAGAAACAGAAACAAGACAGAACAAGAGTGAAACTATTTGGACTTAGATTTCATGAGCTTTTGAGCATCAGATGGAGTGGGAAGTGCAGGAATAGCTCCCTTCTGAGTTGTGCACACAGCTCCACATGCATTTGCAAAGGCAAGTGCTTCCTTCAACTTCCCTTCATCCTGAAACATTCACATTACACAAACAAACAAACTCAACTCATATCCCTAATCTATGAACTGATTAATTGTCATCTAAATATCTGCGGCTATACGTACATCGAGTATGGAGCCATCTTTGCCTAGTGAGACAAGAAATGCACCAACAAACGAATCACCAGCTCCAGTTGTATCAACTGCTTTCACAGCGTATCCGGGCACTCTCCCTTTAAATTTCTGTGTTTTGGCAGTCAAAAAAACCTTTGTTTAGTTAACTCTAGAAGGCACCAATCATATTCGAATTCAATTCCTTTTCGTTAATTACCTTTGTGTAGTATCTGCAACCTTTTTCTCCATCAGTTACAATAAGCAGCTTAAGCTTATCATGCATGAGAGACAAAACAACATCATCCTTTTCCGCATCTCCACGGGTGAGGAATGTTACCTCATCATCACTTACCTACACATTCGAAACTCGACACTAAGATCATCGAAACAGAGAACATCGCGAGTCCGGTTTTACAACAAAAACAAACATACCTTGATAATATCAGCCTCATTCCAAATACTTTTGATTCCTTCTATAGCAGCTTCAGTAGAAGGCCAGAGAGGCAACCGAACATTCGGGTCATACGAGAGTAAAACTCCTGCATCTTTAGCGGTTTTCATCGCAGCCATGTGAGCCGCTCTACACGGCTCAGAGATCAAGCTAATGGAACCATAATGGAAAATCTTAGCTTTCTTGATAAGATCCTTGTTGAGCTCAGATTCTTTCAGAAGCATATCAGCACTCGGATTCCTGTAAAACATAAACTCTCTCTCACCATCTTTCTTCAACGTCACAAAAGCCAATGCGGTTCTTGCGTTGGTATCGAAACAAACACCTTCGCTGTTCACACCATTCTTCTTCAATATGTTCACCAGCATGTGTCCAAACTCATCATCACCAAACTAAAAAAAAAACATCAAACCATCAATCAATCTATAGAGAAGAACAGATTCCAACATAAGAAACACACAAACCTTGCCGATGAAAGCGGATTTGCCACCGAGTTTGGTAATGGCACAAGCAACATTAGCCGGAGCACCACCAGGGGCTTTGAGAAAACCGGTGGACTCAGCTAAAGATACACCAGAAGTGTCAGGGACAAAGTCGATAAGCATTTCACCAAAAGAAACAATCAATGGAGTATTAGCCATCTTTTGTTGAAAAAATCTAATTTAACTCAAAAACAAGAAATGTTGACACACATAAACAAAAAGACCTCTCTTTATTAAGCTGGAGAATTAGCAACAAAAATGCATGAAAAATGGGATAAGCATTAACAAAATCCCTAATTTATAGTAAAAACTCAGTCCAAACTTTTGACTGTATAAACCTCCATTTTAGGGACCTAACAATCTCAATTTTGTGTCATCATAAATATATTAAAGATGAATAAATCGTACCAAAGTTATAATATTTTGGCTTAGTTACAGTCACTGGAAATATAGTTTGAACAAATCTTATTAATCATTAGTTCAAGAGTCACTATACAGAGCAAATTATATACATTTTTAAGGGTTTTAAACCCTAAAAGAGACATTATCAAAACTCCATGATTAGGGTTTTTCAAATCTTGATCCTTTTTCATTAACTAGGACCCCAACAACTCAAGTACATGACTGTCCTTAACGATTCTTCAGCTTGCTTGGTCTTGTTGGTATAATCGAATGATGAGGAAGAGAGCTTCTTAGCTTCAGAAACAGATCTTAAGTTGTTTCGGAGATACTGATTCGCTGATCGGATTACATAGTTCCAACGACACACGCCTAGTTGGTCTTTTAATGCCTCAACGGCTCCGATGCTTGCAGCCACCATCCATGTTTTGCTTGCAGAACTCATTTTTGTTTCTGTCTTGTTTGAGTGATTTTGGTTTCGTTTTTGTGTTTGTTGATGATGAAGGAGAAGAGGGTTTTGTTTATATAAACAGAGAAGAAGCAGACAAAAAGTGCCGCGAGTTTGGAGTTGAAAACAGAGGACGTTGTAGCTGCTGGTTTTCTTGGTTTCTGCTGAAACTATGAATGTTTATTTGAAATGACGCTTTTGCCCATCGTAGTCGTTTAGTGTGGGCTTTTTATCCACCACATTCCGGTCTTAGTTAATTCGTTCGGGTTTTTTTTGTTTATCGATCCTAATTTTGTGTATTTCTTTATACTAAAAGGATCTATACCATTAAAGGGAAAATTGGATATAAAGGACAAATAATTAAACTATTGTCCATCTATGCATTCTATATTCAAATGTCACATATTCTTAATATACCCTTTGTAATTGATTTAACCAATTTTTCAAATAAAATTCAAAATATTTTGTATGCAAATGATAAAGAAGTCATGGAAATACTTATAAAATCAAAAATATATAGTTTTTGTTACCGTTTTGGATGAATAAAATATGATCTACGAAGTTTAGACTACGCCTTCTGAATTTAGAATGTGTATTCTATATATTGTACATGTTCTATAAAATTTAGATAATGTATTCTATACACTCTACATGTTATAGAAAATTTAGAACGTATTTCTGTTCTACGGTATTTAGAATACTAAATTCTACGAAATTTAGAATACATATTCTATACTTTGCTCTTTCTTCTAGAAAAATTAGAATATGTTTTCTAACATTTACCCATGTTCTAAAATTGTTAGAAAACAGATTCTTATATTTTTCTATATATTCTACAAAAAAATAGAAAACAAATTCTATGTAATTTAGAATGTTTTTTTTTAAAAGGAAAATAAATTATAAAATATGGAAATCCAATATAAAAAGTTAAGATTACGAAACTACGCAAATTTTTCGTGAAAAATACGTAACATGAGTGAAATATGTTGTTCTACTTATACAAAATACAAAATACGTAATATAACCAAACTCAATTATAAACTAACAAAAGTACCACATTTGTAGAAAATTGTGGTTTACTATAGGCGTAATATTTGAAAGTGACTAACGTAAAAGTGAATTGACATGTAAAAAGTTGCATAAATCATTGTGTTTTGTTTTTCATTCAATCTCTATTATATTATAATCTAGCTGTGGAGGTTCATACTTTGTCATTCGGTCATGAATACATGAGCAGATGTTATTTCCCGTAGATCATCTACATGCTTTTGATGTGCATGTATATGTTGACATCGTCCAACATATCGATGGGCAATCCCAAAAGAGAAAATCAAAGAAGAAGTTGCCGTAAAAAAATAGAAGAAGAAGATGCCGTAAAAAAAATAATTAAAGCGGAAGAAGATTTGAAATTATCTACGGCAAAAAAAAATTAGAAAGTACTTAAATATTACTTTTGTCATATATTTTCTCCAAATCATTTTTAGAAAGTAATCTAATTAATTTTGGAATTTTATAGTTTAGCAAGATTTAACAAAAAAAATGGGGATATAAATGAGATTTTAATTATATCAAAACATATATGACCAATTTTAAAGCATATATGACCAATTAGGAATATAGAATGCATAGATGGACAATAATTTAATTATTTATCCTTTATATCCAATTTTTCCATTAAATCTATAAAATTTTAAAATAATATAGTACTTTTTTTTTTTTTTTTGTTAAAGGGTATTCAATTAATTAAAAACATATGCCCAATGGGCTATTTCCGGAATAGGCCCATACAATATCCCCATAGGGCCCAATCCAATTACACTAAACCAAACCAAGAACCAAACCAAAATCGACCCGGGTAAACCCAATATAGACCAGTAGCTAACCGATCTCTACTGGGAACGCTAATCTTCATCGGAGAACCCTAACGAAGCCGCCTTCCAACGAAGCTGCGGAAACTCGCCGATTCAAGACCACCGGCGAGCCAGGAAGACGGGAGTCGAACGGAGAAAGCGACACAGGGCCATCGCCATCCCGCCACCGTAGAGTTGTGAAGAGAAGGATGAAGAAACCGAACTTGCATATCAGGAAACCACAGCTCAGTCGGGAGAGAGAGAAAGCAGTAGGGAGTAGAAAAGGATAACCATTGACGGTGGCATAGCTTTGTCCAACCAGCCGTAGACCTCCCCCATCAAACCAGCGGCCGACAGAACCTCCTGCGTCTCCAATCGCCCAGATCTAACCGCTTACCTTTCTCGTTCCTCGCCGAAAGCTTCCTTCTTCACACCACGTCGCCACACCACCGGTAGAGCTCTTACCGGTAACATCCCGCGGAAGCTTCTTCTTGCCACAAACTCCCTTGATTTCGATTTGGTGACCTCGCCGGTAAAGTGCAACGGACCACGGTTGAAGCGCCATGGACCATGGGTTCCTCATCGACGCCGGAATCGCCGGAGGAAACCATTCACACGATGCACAAGATTTCGATCAGAAGAAAAAGAGGAGAGAGGAGAGAGACGCGAGTTATACTCACGCGCTCTCCCTAAATTTGTTGTTAAATAATAATAATAATATAATAATATTATAGATTGATTGATTGAAAAAATGATATAGTACTTGAAGAAATAATATAGTACTTGAAAAAAAAAATTATAGATTGATTGAAGAAATGATAGAATAAAACAAATCTCTCTTTCAGAATCTTGTCAAATTTACCAAACAAGTTTTATTTCCGTTTCACTTTCTAATATAGCGGAAATATTGATTGTAATAGTTTTATTGTCGATTATTCGAATATTTTCTTTGTATCAATTTAATTATTTTGGCAAAACTTAAAAATTATTTCATAACAAGTATCGTTTTAGGTTTTCTGTTGGATAAATTTTTGAGTCTTATTTAGACTGTCTTGAAGTCTTGAATATTAATAAAAAATAATATATTACTATATGGTAACATAAAATGTAATTGTTTTTTTAATTGTTTAAAAATACCTTAAACAACATATAATTGGCAACGGATGAGTATTAGATTTATATATTAAAAAAAACTAAAAAAAAAAAATGGATCGCACACCTTATTGGCTTATTTTATGTTTATTTGCATTGAACTTTGTGTTTATGATATAGTCATTATTGTTGTGCTTATTTATTTTTTATGATATTTTTCATGTCTACATGCATTTTTCTAAAAAGAAATAAAGAAACATTTATAATTCGAAAGGTGGGCCGTGGGCACAACACGAGATCCAAACAATCCCAAAACCAGGTGCACATAGCGGCACTTTGTCAATCCAGGAGCTACCAAAATCCCAATATTACCCCTAATCCAGTTTCATTTAAAAGGCTAAAAACGTTATTTCACTAACCAGACAGTAGTAACGAACAAAACCAACGGCCACAGCTTGTAGTTTTGACTCCAACTTCAAGGCAATATTGTTGGCTTCTTCTCTTTTACATAAATACACCAATTCACTTCATTTTCTAAACATCATCAACAACACACACAACAACAATTCTCAAAACGCAAAGAAAAGGAAAAAATGAGTTCTACAAGCAAAGCATGGACGGTAGCAGTGAGCATCGGAGCCGTAGAGGCATTAAAAGACCAGTTAGGTCTTTGTAGGTGGAACTACATACTCCGGTCAGTGAATCAACATCTACGGAACAACGTCAGATCTGTTTCTCAAGGGAAAAGGTTTTCTTCGTCTATCTCCGCCGCCGTTACCTCCTCTGGTGAGAGTGAGAAGGCGAAAAAGGCTGAAGAATCGCTTAGAACAGTCATGTACTTGAGCTGTTGGGGTCCTAATTAAATTGTGTATAATATATAGTTTCTTACTTTTATAAAATTATTTGAAACATGAAATTTTTCAATTCATTTTTGGTTTCAATGAATGAAAGCTTTCAGTTCAACAATTTTATTTTTCACTCGCTGTTCATTAAAATTCGTCATGAACATCTGACTGGTGAACACTTCAGAAGAAATATTTATCCTCTGATATTTTCCGGGCCCACCTTTTTTATTTTTGTTATCACAGAAACTTTTTTTTTCTTAGAAGAAAACGTTACTCTGATAAATAGAAGAGGTAAAAATTCTTCCCAATTCCTCCAATAATTTTTCTTCTAACCATGCACCAGTCAGACCCAAAGATCAAGTTTTAAGTACCAGAGAGGCTTAAATGTGACACAAGTCCATTTTGTAACACAGTGGTTTCAACTGGTAACACAAAGCTGTACAAGTTTTTCAGCTAAAAAAATGAGCGGTAAGCGATACCAAAATAATCAAAAGATATATGAAGTAGGTATCGCTTTTATGATTGGGGTTTAAAGCGATATATGGTTACCTATAAGAACCGGTGAGTTCACAGCTCCTCTTATATAAAATATTTCTTTACGGATTCAGTTATCTTCCAGACACATTTCATGTCTTTAGGGAAAATAACTAACATCTCCTTTACCTATTTCAAAAACATTCACTTTCACTTTCCCCTCCACGAAATAAATTGTTTCTGTGTTCTCAAACGTCCATGGAAACGTGCTTGGATCACCTTCCCACCTGGCTCAATGTACATGACTCAGTCATCACTATTCAGGCTAAGACAATAGGAATGTAAAAATGTCTAAATTGTTATACAATAATGCCCTTTCTCGGTCTTTTTTTTTTCTGAAGAATCAACCAAGCTATTAGCCAAATATTTTCTAAAGACTAACACAAATTCGGAGAGAGTATAAAATTTAACTAGATGAATGTTAAGCAGATTCTTGCAGTAAGAACACAATCGGATATGAATCTTCAGGTTGGATCAACACTAATTGGTTCTGCTTGTTCATTTCAATGAATAGAAAACATCGAGGAAATGCTAGTTCTGTATATACGCCATTAAAGCAAAGAGTCAAGAGAGGGATAAAGAAAGGAACTGACTTGGTCCAAGAAGTGTAGTTTAGTTGAGCAAGTTTAGTATCCGAAACTTGACGTAGGATCTTGACGCCATGAATTTCAGTAAGAATCTCAGAACTCAAGAGAGATAAGATTGCTTCTTTAGAGTTTCCCATTAGAGTACACAACAATGAGTCTTGAATGGATGAAAGATACAAGCGTTGCTCTCTTCGTAGCCTTTCAAATGGATAGGGTACTTATGGATGGCTTATAACTAGGGCCCTTACCATTATTAACACCACATGTAACCAAACAAAATCTCCCAAAATTTCAAAACGTGAGAGAGGTATAATCATAATCCTCATCAACATTGCAATACCATAGATATGATTAGTTCAAAGTTAGCAACCAGATACAATACAACAAAGGAACATCAATGTGACTCAAATTCTCTCTACAAACTAAAAGTCACTACTCCTCTAAGCTATAATGTTTCTTCACAGCTTCAGTTATCTCCCAAACAACTTTCATTTCTTTAGGGAAAACAACAACATCTCCTTTCCCTATCTCGAACGTTTCTTCTTCTTCGTCGAATCCGTCAACATTCACTTTCACCTTCCCCTCCATGAAATACATCGTTTCCGTCTTCTTAAACTCCCATGGAAACTTGCTTGGAGCACCTTCCCACCTATTCAATGTACATCACAATTCAGTCTTAATAATGTGATGTTACTACACTAATGTATTTACCCTTCCTCTGTTTTTTCGTCTATTTCAAGAAGGAACCAAGGTTTTAGCAAACCATTTGTTGAGAGACTAACACAAAATTACATGATTCAGACACAAGTGAACTTGTCTGTTTAAGACACAAGTGAACTTGTCTGTTTCGTACACAAGTATATGTCAACAGATTCTTGCAGCAGGAAATCAAAATTGATGATGCAAATCATCATGTTGGATCAACACTAACAAACAAGTAAATCTAATTGTTTTGCCTAGTTTCGATTAATCCCAATAACCATTTGAGGAAACCCTAAACCCTAGTTGTGTATCAACGCCATTGAAGCAAAGAAGCAGAGAGAGATAAAGAAAGTTACTGACTTGGGCCAAGAGGCAACGCCTAGTTGAGCAAGTTTGGTATCAGAAGCTTGACGCAAGATCTTGACTCCGTGAATTTCAGTAGGAATCTCAGAATCGGAGGAGACAGATAGAATTGCTTCTTTAGGGTTTAGCTTCGTGGTGATGAAGGAAACGCAAACGCAGACTGTTACGAGAAGCAGAGACAAAGTTAGAAAATGATTACCCATTTGGAATTTCACAACTTTAAGCTTCGAATTGATGAAAACGAAGCCAAAGACTTCAGCTTTTTCTAGAGACGGTCTCTTCGAATTCTTTAAAGTTGGTAACTTTACCAAATCTGAGATAACTGAAAAGAAGGTCTTTCTTTTTTTTTTTTTCTTGAGATAAAACTGAAATTGGTGTAATATGGCAAAACTGTTGACGAAAATCTTAAATTAGCTGACCTAATTAGAAGATTAACCAGCATGAGATATTGGTAAAATTTTTACACATGTTCTACTCTTGGTTAAGTAATATGGTTAATCTGTTGACAAAGAGTAACAATTCTACCAAACTTAATTATCAAAAATTATTATTCCGTAATTAAATTTGTAACGAGAGAATAGTTCGATTGGTAACACAAATTTGTATATTATTTTTAGCTGTAAGTTAGAACGATAAGTTTTTATAGAATAGTGTAAAATTGTAAGAAATAGTAGTATATGAAAGCTATACAAAAAAACTGAGACATTTCGGTAACGCTTTTAGTAGTGTTTTTATGATTGGTAACTACTAAAACGATACACCCTGTATCACTCCGGTACATGATTACCAATTAAAGCCAATAATAAATATCACATAATATTGGACTCTATAAGGAAGTGTTACGAAAATCTAAGAAAAGAAACAAAACAATAGTCGATAATTGATGCGCATATCTACAAAACAATGCGAAAACAAATTTAATTTAGGGAATTAGTTTTCACATCGTATTGTAATTTTTTAATCCGATTAGTTTTCACATCGTATTGTAATTTTTTAATCCGATTAGTTTTCACATCATATTAAATCATTTTAATCCGGTTAGTTTTTGCATCGTGTTGTAAATATTTTGTCAAAATTTTCATTATTTAAAAGTTACAAACTTTATATTATTATTTTTTTACTTGTATTCAACTGATTTTGTAAGTGACCTGTTTATATACACTCTAAACTAAACGGGATACAAGCGAGATTACCGCGGGATTAGCGGGTTTATCAAATTAAACGGGTAACCTGTTTATTATTTCTTTTATGTGTCTAAACAGGTTTATATTTCTTGTGTTTCTGAATTTCGTCAGTTCTCCCTCCGAACCTCGCCGTCGATGGTCATGGATATGTCTCCTCCCAGACGAGAGACACAACCACAACCGATGGAAATCTATTTAGATAGATAGAGTTTTGTTGATCCTTTGAAACTTCTGTAGGTTTATAATTCATGGGTTAGCAAAGTTTTCTCAAGATTGTAACTCATGAACAATTTCGTCATCTAAGTCGTTTTCATTTAGTTCACCTAAAACTCAAATCTCATATTTATTAATAGACCAAAATCAGAGTCAAATTAAAGTATTTTTTTTTTCTTTCTAAATTGGCCTTAGTAAATAATGTATGCAAGCTCACGTCTTGTGACGTATGCGATGAATTTCTTGTATGGAATCAAATTAACTTATATGTTTATTTGTGAGGATCGATATCCTAAAAGGCTAAAATTGATGGATGATGATTTGGTTGTGTTAAGGCGAACAATGTTGTGTAGTGTCCCTCACTTGTATAATCGAGTATTTATGTGAAAGAATACAGAAATGGAATGGGACCAAAAAAAAAAACCATTACCGACATGCACACTATTTATCTTAAGTTATGAAAAAAATATTATCGATATCACACTCAAAATACGACATCACTCAACACCCAAAATACGGAAATTGAACAACATAAAAAAACGAAACCAAAACAAAGAAAAACTATAAAAAAATTAAAACAATTGTCAGAAAAGCCGACATCGCATTGCGACAATGTCATGAATATTTGCAGCTTCAGTGCTGCAAGTCTCACATATACCGTACTGCAAATATTCAAATAAATAATTGTTGATATTTTTCCTAAAATATTACTCACCTATAGTTGTTTTGTGTGAACCATGTCTCTGCACATTTTTTATGTGCAAGAGACATCTCACCCCGACATGAACAGCCGAGGTAGATAAACTCTCCACAATCAAGGCATAGTATACATGGTGGTGAACTTTGGATGTCCACCATAGTGTATGTGAGTCCAAATAATTATAAATTCAAATTAGTTTATGAAAGCAACATGAAATCTAAAGAGATTTTGTAAAAAAGTTAATAAGCCCAATTATTTTCCAATTGTTTTTGTAAATATTATATCAATAAAAAGATTAATATTTGAAGATACAACATAAAACGCTGTAAAAAAGATATATAAAAAACCAGTGTTTATTTTTTCCATTTATATTAGATTTTAACAATTAAATCACACACATATATATATATGTATATATATTTGTGGTTGGCAATTACTCCAAACAATAACAGAAAGCATAAAGGAATTAGCAAATAAATAATGCAACGCAACGATAATGTTGATAATCTATCTAGTCATTTTAAACACTTAGATTGCGTATAGAAATTACTTTTTTCTGTTGTCCACTATGATCATTGAGGTCATGTCTCCGTTAGTAAAATCTTTTTAGACCAATCCAAAACCTAAAATTACATATATGTTTTTGTAAATTATGTAAATTATTTTATCCTTCATCATATTTATTTATATTTTCTTATATTTTGCTTATGGTTTTCTTATATTTTCCTTATATTTTTTTTTTTCAATTTTGTTTTTCTTCTCTCTTATCAGTTTTTCAAAAATTACAATGTATTAATAAATTCTACTAAAAGACAAATCATAAATGCATTGAAAGAAATTAATTTGATATTTTGGAAAAAAAAATCATCATAAACTATATTGATATCATTAATTTTGAACTAAAACATTTAGAACACCTTTCAATTTCGGGGGCGAGGGACTTATCAACAAAAAAACAATCATATCGATAATCATTTAAACCCATTACTTTATTGTTTATTCCATACAAACACTAAAACCTGAAATTATATAACTTTAATATATAAATAAAATATGTAACATCACGCAAAAACTAAAAAAGAGAGACAATTATCTCACGGATCAAATGGTCGATAGGTAACGACTGTTACCTTATGTTGTAGAAATTGGTAACATAATCCAATTAGTTTTCACATCACATCACTCAACACTCAAAATACCAAAATAAAACAGCAGGAAAAAAAAAAAAGAAACAAAGAAAAGAAGAGAAAATTTACAAAAATGTAAAACAAAAATAAGAACAACCGTCAGGTAGGCCGACATCGAACTTCAACAATGTCTTTGAGATTCGCAGTTTCTATGCTGCAAATCTCGCATTCCTGTAATTAAATAAAAAATAATTTGTAATCATGTAACATATATATATGATTTAATAAAAATATTTTGCTAATTACCTGTTATTTTGTATTGTGAACCATGTCTTTGCACAATTTTTGTGTGCAAGAGAGAAAGATCACCCCGACATAAAAAACTGAGGTACCTAAGATCTCCACGTTCAAGACAATTCCTACATCGTGGTGGACTCTGGATATCCACCACGGTGTCTGTAGGGTATAAAAACAACAACAACAAAATTAAATTTTTTGCTTTGTTGTCCTTTTTAATTCATGTAATCATGTTCACTTTGTTCATTTTTTTGCTTCATGTAGTTTACTTGACTTTCCATGTTAGTTTTCATATAAATAATTAAAAAATATATTTATCAAGATGAAACTATTATATCAGCAATATGCACTTTTAATATTAATACGATAATACTATTAGGTTTTGTAAAATCTAAAGAGCTTTCGTAAAAAAAAATAGGTTTTTTTTACCGTACATCTATGGAGCTGGTGCGTCAGTTTCAGTGTAAAAGCCATCGTCGTTTTTTCTTGGAGCATTTGGAGGTAGTTCAAATGAAATGTTATCATCTTGTAAACATTCTCATCTTGTCTTTCATAATTTGTAAACATTCTCACTAACTCTATCCAACACTCTTTATCTTAAACTAGATAAAGCCCGCCTAAATAGGTGGGTGTAATATATAAATATAAATTGTTATCGATGATATTTGAATTTTGAATAATAAATAGTAATCCATTCACTTTCCCTAATATTTAATAATTTAGTATTTTTTGTTTTAAAAAAAAAATAAATCTTAAATCTTACACATTCCTTTTTTCTATACATTTTAACTATTTATTTTATCGTAATAAACTGAATTTTAATTCTACACATACTTTCGTATTGATGATATTTAAATCTTGAATAGTAACCGACACACTTTTTATATATTTAATTTCTTATTTTTTTTAAAAAAAATTTTAATCTTACACATTCCATTTTGCAATATAATTTAACTATCTATAGCATCATAATAAACTTGATTTTAAGTCTTCATAGTTCATCTTAATGGATAAAATGCTAATAATTATTGGAATCAAAATCGTATGTATATCATATCAAATCTATATCTTAGTTAATATTAAATCTAATTAACAAATAACAAAACATTTAATAAAAAATAGAAATCCACAATAGTTATGGAAAACAAACATTGTTTAAAATATAGTTTTTCTATATAACGTAATCTCATAAGTTAGTTTTACCTCATGACAAACTAATTTTAAATGAGTTAAAATTAATAAATAAATAATTATATATATATATATATATATATATATATATATATATATTAACATTCTCATTAAGTAATCGAAAGTTCATTCATATAAGCAATTTTCTCAAATATTTTGTGTTTATAATTATGACTACATGCGTTAAAATTCTTAAATAAAATATAAGTATAATTATCAACTATTCAAATATTCGTTCGTTCTTATAAGCTCATTATTTTTGTAAAACTTTTGTGTTTTCATTTGACGAATAAAAACTTTATATTACGATGATAAATACAATTTTATCCAATGAAATTAATGTTAAATAACTTATATTGTTATTTAAAACTTCAACGGTTATTGTTTATTTTTTCATATCCATACTAAATGATTTGAAAGAAACACAATTAACACATGCCAAATCTAATTGACCAATAACACATGTAAAGAAAAATTGTTAGTTTTTCTTTTTGGTTAAAAAAAATAAAGTTAACAAATTTTAGAAATTAGATATATAAATCAGTTCTTTGTCCAAAAAAAAAAAAAAAAAAAAAAAAGATATATAAATCAGTATATGTAAATATTCTTTTTTTTAGTTTTCCTATTTGTTTAATGAAAAAAGCTAAATATTTTTTGATACATGTCAACATCTGATCGATAGACTTGACACGTATCACGATCATGCGAGTTACTAACTTTGAAAACCATACTTTATATAATAAGATTATCTTCTACATATTCAATAGGAAAAAGGAAATTTCAAATGTAGTGTATGAACAAAAAATTTTAAGATGTAGTCATGTAGCGTAGGAAAAGAACAAAAATGTAGCGTACGAACAAAAATGATTAAAGATGAGAAGAAAAGGGTATTATGTATATTGACGTGACCAATCCAACAATGACAAGCAATTGCAATAGACCCTAATTCTACCAGGTCTCAGCGACCATCTAGTCGGGAGAACGTCGGCTAGGTTACCAATTGAAGCTTGCGTCAATTAGTGCATCTACATGTTAACAACTAAATAGTCTAAAACTATGCAAACTATATATCGTCATCAAAGTGGTAAACCTACGTACATCTTATATTATTAGCATAAAATTAACAAAAATAATACAACTAACTTAAATCCACACATGACTTTAAGTCTTTAACAAAAAAAACTTAAATCTACATGAAAGCGTTAAAAATATACATAGACGAATTCAGGGGCGGATGCAGAGATTAAATTTATGGGGGGCAAGATTAAAATTGTTTAAAGAATTTAAGGGTCAAAACTGCAAATATCAAAGGGCATAACTAAAATTATTTAACATTTGTATTAAAATTCAAAAATTTGTCAGTGGCATCTGCCCCCCCCTTATAGCGTACGTGGATCCGCCACTGGACGAATTCATAGATTGGTCGCTCAAATATAAATGAAATAGTAACTACTAACGCATGTCTACTATATTTCATATCATACGTTAAATATTATTTTATGTAGAGAATGCATGTATATTAATTTATTTTTTACTTTATATAATTAATTCACAATTCATAAATTTAATTACAAAGAAATAATAACGGTTTCTTCTTATTATTCAGTATCTAGATCTTTTCGGATAGAAAAGTTTCTCTATTTTTATATTTAATTATTTATCCAACATATAATAAAATATTTATTTCTACCAATGTGTAAAAAGGATAATTATATAAGAAAATATCTAACTCGCTGAAGAGATGAGGCATGAATGGATCATATGTTATACACTTATACTTATACGATAATAAATTGGACAGAAAAGAAAAAATAAAAATAGAGTTTTAATTCGATTGCAGTTCTTTGTGACTTCGTGAAAATCTGAAAACAATTAAATTTAAAGGAATGCAATAATGGGCTGCATCGGTGTTGTGAATTTAACAAGCATCAATCCATATCTCACAAGAACATCAAACAAACCCTACAATTCAAGAAGAGCATCATCCATGGCTGCTGCGATTAGAGCTGAGTCAGTAGCTACTGAGAAATTAGGGATTACAATTGAGAAGAACCCACCTGAGTCCAAACTCACCCAACTCGGTGTTCGTAATTGGCCCAGGTACTTTACTTTACTTGCCCTTCTTCTTCTTCTGCTTTAGCTTTTGTTTCCCGGAGAAGAAAGTCTTTAGCTTTTGTTTTTTGAAGCCATAAGGCATCTCCAACTGATCTAGTTTCTCTTATTATGTGTAAATTAGACTATCTTTACCTCAATTGATCCATCTGCTATTGAAAGTTTGAACCTTTTTGGTTGCCCGGATAAGAAAGTCTTTACCTTTTTCTTCTTGTTGTTCTTGTTGTGGAATTCAATCTCCATGATCATATGCAGCTTCTCATTATCGATTTCCATGGCATAAGTAATTTGCAATTGCTGCATTTTTGCTTACTTTGTGTGTTAAATGTAACTTTCAATGTGAGGTTGTCCTCCAAGCATGTAACTTTCAATTGCTCAAGTTCATATTTTTGTGGTTAAATTCGACAAAGATTTACGTCAATTAATCCATTTGCAGTTGAAAGTTTTTACCTTTTGTCTTACTCGTAGAACAAAGCTTTAAGCTTTGTTTGTTTGTTGTTGTTGCTGCTGTATAAGTCATCTGCAATTGCTCTAGTTTCTGTTTTTGCAAGTATATTGGACAATCTTTACATCAATTGATCCATCTGATATTGAAAGTTTTAAACTTTCTTTTGTCATATGTAGAAGCTAGATAGCTCAAATTTCTCAATGATGAGTTTTTATGGCATTTGCTATAAGCAATTGAAGAAGATTTTCTTACTTTGTGGGTGAAATTGATGGCACAGGTGGGGTTGTCCTCCAAGCAAGTTTCCATGGACTTACAGTGCAAAGGAGACTTGTTATCTGCTAGAGGGGAAAGTGAAAGTGTACCCTAATGGATCCGATGAAGGCGTAGAGATCGAAGCAGGCGACTTTGTTGTCTTCCCTAAAGGAATGAGTTGCACTTGGGATGTCTCTGTTGCTGTTGATAAACATTACCAATTCGAGTGAATGGATATCAATCTCTGCTCTACGTATTCGTGGGTTGACCATCTTTGTATGTTGATGTATACTTATTTCATATATATCAGTCTGCGCTTGTGGGATCTGTTTGCTTCGATATCTGAATTTTTTTGCATAGTCTATTGTCTCGCTGCTCGCGCTTCCTGCTCAACCATCATCATTCAAATTGAACTTCAGAGATTTGACGATTTCAGTAGACTTATTCAATATGAATCTAGCGGATTTAAGCCTGAATTTTCTCATATCAATCAACTTTAAACCATTTTCTTGGAGAATGTTACCCATAAAAATTATCTCAATGTCTCCTTCCTGTTTTGGAAACAGTTAGAACTCACTTTACCACATAACAGTGGTAACAGACGCAAAATGCAATATGTTCATTAGGTTCAATAGCAAAAGCGGTTATTGATTAATGAGGAATTTGCAAAAAAAATATTCAATCTAATTCGGTTTCATTTCATGTAAACAAATCTGAAAATTAAGTGTGAATAAATTTGTTTTATCACTTAAATTTGTTTAATAAATCTATTTTGCATTTTCAAAATTTTCTAAAACAAAAAATCTTTAAATTTGGTCAAGTTTATTTAGATTTTTTTTTTTTTCCTTTTTTCAGTTTTCTCCGAATTTTTTTGTTTTATTTTATTTAAGCTTCTGAATGAAGTTTTAGCTTTAGTGAAAACGGAGGAGTCATCCGATTTAATATCAAAGTCATTCGAAGTTCAATACAACATATATAGTTTTCACTTTTTACTATCGAAAAGGATAATTGAAAATACAAGTGATATTTACGTAATATTCGATAAATAGAATTGGATAATGATGAAACTACAGATGTTGCATAGTTTGGTTGGTTTTTAATGAAGAGCACACGAAGTGGTTGAGGAATGTAGCATCCGATTATGATGGAATACTAATCTCCAAAGTTAGTGGGAAAAGACAGAGAACAAAATACAGATTAGAAAGAGACATTTCGAGAGTTCATGCTTTAATCGTCCTAAATTTGAAAGTTGGCGCATTTTTCGACATTTTTCCCGATTAGAAAACACAAGTACGCATTTATCTTTAAGCTCATGGTGTTAGAGACATGACTTCCACGGACCACGATATGATGTTGCCCTTCCCTAAATTATTCTATATATTATTAATATATTATGTACGAGAAGACGCCTTAAAGAAAATGGGCAAGGGCAATTAAAGTCATGTCTACATACATCTACATGATGTTTCTTTTGATATGATGTTTCTTTTGGAAAAACCACTTCATACATCTACATATACTTCAGTAAAGAAACAAATAACATTGGACTCACATGATCTCTTCTAGAATTACATGACTAAATTCAACACGTAAGAAAAACTTGAAAAATATCATACAAAATAGACAAACATTTACTTACAAAAATGTGAGACAATATACAATTTTAAGTGGAGGCCCTAAGCAGCCGCTTCCCTTGCTTATGCTAAGGGCCGGCACTGAGTTTGATCATCAGTTCTCCGTCCATCGGACTTGGCTTCCGGAGATATGTTGTTGTCCGTGGACTTCAGTTGCTAAGGCTATTTCGTACCACTGGTATTGTATCATTCCAAAAGTTCTATACGATATTTCAGATGGAGAAAAAAAAGAATAAGAAAGTGTTGAAAAGGAGAGAGGCTAATGTTTAAAGACTACTAAGAATATCTAAACCCAACACTATAAAACCATAAAAAGGTTTCGGAAGAAATCGCTCAACAAACTACTAGTCTAAACCCACACAATATACCAATTACGTTTTCTAGGCAGTCACTCGCTACCAAGATCGTTTGCAATAATATTTTCTTACATGACATTTTCTATGAACGGAAACCGTAGGAAATCGGTAGGAATTGCCAGTTTTCTATCGTCTTTCTACGATATCGGCCATAAGTATTCTAATTAAGAAAGTAATTAAAACAATTGAGAATGTTAAGGAGTGAGAAAAAAGAAGTACACAGTAGAAAAATTAATAATAATGAGGATCACACATACAATATAAAACAAATAAAGTGAAGTAAATAAACGAAAGAAGTTGTTCTAACTTCTACATAATAAGTTTCGAACTCGGAACGGTGATTATTAATTACCATTTCAGATTATTGTGAAACAACAAAGGAGCTTTAATGCTTCATTTGCCTTACAATAGGGTTGGGCCTGTTTTTAAGGTAATTCAGATTCTTCAATCTCTGACTCTCTAAAATATCGTTTCTTCACATCTTCAGTTACTTCCACAAAAACTTTCATGTCTTTAGGAAACACAACCAAATCCCCTGCCATTAGTTCTAAGGCTTCTCCTTCTTTGTGATGCTCTTCAACTCTCACTTTCATCTTCCCCTCGACAAAGTACATCGTTTCTGTCTTCTTAAAATTCCATGAGAATTTGCGCGGAATGTTTTCCCATCTGCTCAAGTTTGATCTCACAGTTAATCAACCATACATGTACATGTGACTCATGACTTCAAACCAATCGAGCACATAGGCTTACGAACTACCACGAAACAAAAGCATATATATCTTTCTTTGATTATTTTCTTTTTTTGTAAGGACTTAACACAATTCCATCAATATGGTTTCATTTAATCAATGGGAAACATTTACAAGTTTTCCCTATGACTCTTTCCAACAAAAGGGTCGGCTACAATATTTCGAGGTGGCTCTCTGACGGATCATAATCCATCAGCAATCCGTCGAAAATTTGTGTTTTTTAAAATTTTCCGACAGACTTTATAAATGAATTTTTTCGTGCATCGAAAATCGCCAAAAAAAAAAAAATCTAACTGATGAATTCATAAAAAAGAAATCGATCGAAATTGCACATGTTTTTTTGTTATAATTAAATTTAACTAAATAAATGTCAAAAGATTAGGTTTAACTAACCTGAAATAAAAAAGCCAAAAGGCAAGTAAAAAACATGAGAGAAAGGCGATTACATTGGCGTTTGTGTCTCTTCGTCAACGGGTGTCTCTCGGTCTCCGGGAGTTGGTTTCGCCGGTTACCGGCGGTTATTTCAGAGTGTATTAACGGTCTGACGGTTGTTTCCTCTATAACCACCGCTCTTAGATCCCTATTTATACTCTGCGTTTGTCTCTGTCTCCGATGGTTGCTTCAGAGTGAAAGCATTTTTCCTTTGTTCTTACTAATCATGACAAACTCAACAAGGAAACAACTCCAAGAGATTGAATTGGGAATCCATGATGATGTGATTAATCTCCCGATTGATCTATGTGAAGAGGAATTACAACAAACCCGATTCAGCCTCATCGCAAAACCAGTGAACCCAAAAAGACAGAATCTGAGAGCGATGTTGAATGCACTTCCACGCCTCTGGGGCGTTGGAGAAGAGGTGGTTGGCCGGATTCTAGAGAATAGGAAGGTTCAATTTCTGTTCCAATCTGAGGAAGCGATGGATTCAATACTGCGACGAGGCCCATGGTCATTCAACGACTGGATGTGCGTCTTACAAAAATGGAGCCCAAACCAAACTGATGAAGATCTGAAACAAATTCCCTTTTGGATGCAAATCCGAGGAATACCGCTGCGTTTCCTCACTTCTCGTATGATAACTTTCATCGGGAACTAATTGGGATCATTCGTGGAAACAGACTTTGAAGGAGATGGGGCGGTACTTGTGGATTATGTTCATGTCAAACTGAATTGGAACATCGACAAACCACTGCGTTTTCAGAGAATCTTCCAATTTGGTGGGGAAGCCGTTGTTATGAAATTCCGATACGAGAGGTTAAGGAATTTTTGCACGACATGTGGCTTGCTCACCCATGACGTTGCAGAGTGCCCCTCCACAAACAACCCAGGAGACAACCCGAATGATGATGATGACAATGATGAAACTCCAGACATACCTGATGAAGACGACAATGCAGAATCCAATGTTCTTCCACCTGGGAACCATGAGGCTGCGGACACGAAAGAAGATGACCGTCAAGGTGCGACAAAGAAGAGGAAGACTGAAGCAGGACAGTCTACTGCAACCTCTTATCCACTGCTTTGCTATGACATACGTCAAGCCTCTGCCACAGAGGATGAAGCACAATGTGTCTTTAAGCGGGTAAGGAGAGAATCAGAAGTACTGGAACAGAGAAACTGGGTTTTCATGCACACACCTGCAAGTCTGTTCACACCCAACTTTGGGAGAAATGCTGCAACCACAACTCACAATAACCGGGATAGCACGGTGGGCCAGAAGCCACCGGAGAAGACATGAATACGGCCTTCTGGAACTGCCGAGGCTTGAAAGGGTCCTTGGTAGTTCGACGCCTCAAAGGGATTAAGTTATCTTACTCCCCGAACATACTATTTCTGTTGGAAACGAAGAATCCTGATGATGTAATCCGTGACGTGGCTGCGTAACTTGGTTATGATTATGTAAAATGTGTATCGCCGGTAGGAATAGGTAGCGGTCTAGCTTTATTATGGAAGAAGACTATTGATGTTTGTGTTATTTTCCTTGATGCAAGACTTATTGATTGTAAGATAAGTAATAAAGATGTTTCTTGTTACTTCTCTTTTGTTTATGGGCATCCTAATCGGAAATTAAGACACATCTTATGGGAAAGACTCCAAAAAATTTCTCTAAATCGAAAGGGCCCTTGGTTAATGTGTGGAGATTTCAACGAGATTCTAAATGCAAATGAGAAACGTGGAGGAAGACTTAGAGAACCTTAGAGTTTAACTGATTTCCGAAACATGGTAGAGATTTGTAAAGTCTCGGATCTTCCATTCACTGGGAACAATATGACTTGGGCAGGAAAAAGGAAAACACATATTGTTGAGTGTTGGCTTGATAGAGCCTTAGCAAACGATGAATGGAAAGCAATCTATCCCGCCTCTGAAGTTGAGTATTTGGAGATGATCGAGTTTGACCATAGGCCAGCAATAATCAAAATACGAAGAATCAAGGAACGTATTAAACATACTTTCAGATTTGATGCACGACTCTGTAAAGTCCCTGAAGTCGCGACTGTGATCGATGATGCTTGGAAATTGGAATGGATT